TCGCCCTGACCTGCTTCGTTGTCGCCTTCTGCTCCTCGGTAATTACGGCCGACATCGAGGGTGTCGCAGCAGAGTTCCACGTCTCAGAGGAAGCCGCCCTCGTCTCCATCACCGTCTTCGTCATCGGCTTCGGCATCGGTCCCATGGCCTTCGCGCCCCTTTCCGAAATCTACGGCCGCCAGGTAATTTACGCATCCACCCTCCTTCTCGCCGTCATCTTCATCATCCCCTGCGCCGTCGCCAAGAACCTCGCCACGTTGCTTGTCTGCCGCGCCATCGACGGCATCGCCTTCTCCGCGCCCATGACCCTCGTGGGCGGCACCCTCGCAGACCTCTGGCGCAACGAGGAGCGCGGCGTCCCGATGGCAGCCTTCTCTGCTGCGCCCTTCATCGGCCCCGCCATCGGTCCCTTGGTCGGCGGCTTCCTCTCAGACGCGGCAGGCTGGCGCTGGCTGTACTGGATCCAGCTCATCATGGCCTTCGTCGTCTGGGTCCTCATCTCCTTCACCGTCCCCGAGACCTACGCGCCCACGATCCTCGCCCGCCGCGCCGCGAAGATGCGCAAGGAGACCGGCGACGCGACCCACGTCACGGAGCAGGACATCGACATGCGTCCCTTCAGCGAGCGCCTGGGAATCTTCCTCATCCGGCCCTTCCAGCTCCTCTTTGGCGAGCTCATCGTCTTCCTCATCTCCATCTACATGTCCGTCCTCTACGGCCTGCTCTACATGTTCTTCGTCGCCTTCCCCATCATCTACCAGAAGCGCAAGGGCTACTCCGCCTCCTCGACGGGTCTCATGTTTATCCCCCTCGCCGTCGGCGTTCTCTTGTCGGCCGCCTGTTCCCCTTGGGTGAACAAGCACTACCTCACCCTCGTCGCGAAGCACAACGGCCACCCGCCTGCCGAGGCCCGCCTCATCCCCATGATGCTCAGCTGCTGGTTCATCCCTATCGGCCTCTTCATCTTCGCCTGGACCTCCTACGCAAATCTCCACTGGGCCGGCCCCGCGTTCGGCGGCTTCCCCGTCGGCTTCGGCTTCATCTTCTTGTACAACTCGGCAAACAACTACCTCGTCGACTCCTACCAGCACCAAGCCGCCTCCGCCCTCGCCGCAAAGACCTGCATCCGCTCCTTCTGGGGCGCCGCCGTCGTCCTCTTCACCGAGCAAATGTACGACCGCCTCGGCGACCAGTGGGCATCGTCCCTCCTCGCCTTCCTCGGTCTCGCGTGCTGTGCGATTCCCTTCCTCTTCTGGGTCTACGGAGCCCGTATCCGTGCCAGGAGCAAGTACGCCTACTCTGGTGATGACGAGGAGACGTCGGGATCCGATGAGGAAAAGGCCAAGCCGCCGAAGAACGCGTTGGCTCCTACCCGCACCTTTGAGCCCGCGTAAGCGATTCGGATATTCGTTATGTATACATCTCGATACATAGCAAAACACCCAGAGAGCTGCTGTATCACAGCGACTTGTTCCTGGCGCCTTGGCTATCGGCCCTGGATTCGATGGTAATCTTTGTTTATTCGGCGTAAAGAGGAGGCTGGCGTTGGATAGTGGAATCCAGGAGCGAAAGGCATTTAGACTATAGACGCATGTAAAGCCCAATGGCCGGCGCCGTTCATAATCCTAAATAAAATTGAAATTAAAACAGTCGGGTTCAAGTGCATGCACATGTGGGTAATGCAACCATTTGGAAATATCAATCCTTTCTTCGTCAAACTTTTCATCTGCATGAGAGGAGCGATGCGACAGTGGATGTAGGGAATCGTCTATTCGTAAGTCGTAATCTGTAGCCATCTATTTGCTCAAGAGTTGAAGAGAGGGGTATTCACCAATCTACAGGTCTTTGTTTCATACCCACCAGCCGCCAGCAGGGTTCTCCTAACCTCAGACAATACGCACCGGGAGAGACTCTCTGCGAGACATTAAAAACTCTTCCTTGACCAAAGAGTTGTCGCACTTGCGTCCCAGCATAAAGTCTTCGAGGTTGCGGAATGTGCACTCGGAGATCTCCTGCAGCGCTTCTTCGGTGAAGAAACCTTGGTGGCCACAGATGAGGACGTTGGGGAAGGTCATCAAACGGGTCAGCAAGTCGTCGTCGATAATATGACCAGAGTGGTCATTGTAGAAGAGATCCCCCTCGCCTTCGTATACGTCCAGGGCCAGACCGCCAAGATGCTTAGTCTTGAGGGCGTGAACGACAGATTTGGTATCGACGAGACCGCCACGAGATGTGTTGATGAGCATAGCGCCAGGCTTCATCTGCTTCAGCGTCTTTTCGTTGATGATATGCTTCGTCTTTTCCATCAGAGGGCAGTGCAAACTGATGAAGTCGCACTTGGGAAGGAGCTCCTCCAGAGGCAGGTACTCGCCGAGCTCCTTGAAGGCGTCTGACTCGTAGGGGTCAAAGGCGTACAGTGTGCAGCCGAAGCCCTTCATGATGCGGGCCATGGAAACGCCAATCCTGCCGGTGCCAATGATGCCCACCGTCTTGCCATGTACAGTCTTGCCGAGAAGGCCATCGAGGTTAAAGTTGCCCTCGCGGGTTCGGTTGTAGGCTCGGTGGGTGCGTCGGTTGAGGGATTGAAGCAGGGCGACGGCGAACTCGGCTACAGCCTCGGGGGAGTAGGAAGGGACATTGGCAACGAAGATGCCCAACTTTTCGGCAGTCTTAAGGTCGACGTTGTTGAAGCCTGCGCAGCGAAGGAGGATGGCTCTGCAGCCGGCCTTGTGGAGCTCCTCGACGACGTCGGCGGTGAGGGAGTCGTTTACAAATACGCAGACGGCATCGACATCTTTGACGAGCGAGACGGTCTCGGTGGAGAGGGAGAAGTCGTGGTAGATGATGCCAAAGTCAGTGTTGTCGTCGACGAGCTTCTCGTTATGCTTCTTGAACTCTTCCTTCCTGACGTCGTGGGCGGCATTGATGTATTTCTTGTCATAGGCTTTGGCGCTGAAGACGGCGAGCTTCATTGTGGCGGTTGGACGCAATTGAGGGGTAGAGACTGATGCCGTGGAGAGACAGTAGCTGGCTGAGTAGGTATTTGGGGAGAGTCTTCTGTAAAGGTGTCTAAGAAGAGGGTGCAGAGCAGGATGGAAAAGTTAATCGGAATTGGTGGTACGAATTGAGGGGATTTTGTATGAAGATGAGGGAGAGCAGAGACAGAGGAGAAGAAGGAGGAGGGTCGGGAACGAAGCCAAGCAAAGGCGCGCGTCAGCTCCCTCCTTCTCCTTCTTGGCTGCCCGCAGACGGGCCTTGCCTCCTTCCTCCTTCCTCATTTCTCCCTCCTACCTTCTCTTCCCTTAGCTCCCTTAAGGTACCTACCTATTCAAAGGTACATCTTGTCTCATGCCGCATTGGGAGCAGCAAGTGCAGTGCCCATGTTCTTTCCTCCTCCATGTCAGTGTCAATGGCAAAATCTGCGTCAGCATCTTTCTGTGGTTGCCCAATCCGGCGCTCAAAATCAGTTTCCAGCTGAACTCTGCCAGATGACGTGGATGAACCCCCAACTGCAGCTGCTACTCTTTTTTTAAGCTTGACTGCGTGGTGAATGCCATTCGCTTGCGCCCAGAGCTACCCCGCCATCCACGAATGCTTTTCTGCCAGGTCGGGAGCTCTGGGCATCTCGCTAACCGAAAGCAGAATTACAACCCCACTGGGTCCGGTCCTGTCAGAGGAACTGTCAGGCGCCCTGCCCTGGATCTTCAGGGGAGCCCCAGTAATTCTTCAGTCGCATTTGAGCGTTTTCATCGACATCACAAGCTTCACGGTTGAGGACTCGAGACACTACGAATTTGAGAATACTCAGATTCATCTTCACTCATGCATGTTGGAAAACCAACCATAAAAACAATCGGTCTCTTCACCTTCAATGCTTTTCCGGGCTGGGTCTTCAACTGCATGAACGCACCCTCTCAGGTCCACAGACACGCTCGAGGTACTGAATGAGTCAGCAAATGAGTGTAGATCCGAGAGTCGCACAAAGCTACCACCACAACAACGTTTTTGAACAAGAAACTCACGAAAATCGCGAAAAGGATCTCTTCAATAATAAGATGGGCACGTAAAGGGTGTTTTGTACGAATTATCTCGATCAAAAAGCAAAAGAATGATCAGTGGGAGGCTTGAACTCCCGGCCTTGGCATTACACAACATTTCAGGTGAAATATTAGTACCACGCTCTAACCAACTGAGCTAACCGACCGGTTGTTGACATCCCCCAAGGGCTGGCTCATTCTTGAAGGCTCAGCTCGCTCGATTCCTCGATTTTTCCTCCCTCTCGGTTTTGCCATGCATCCTGTCGCTTTTTGTGTTCTCCAGACTCTCTCTAATGAAGACAGCTTTGGATTGGTAGGAGCACTCTGGTATCTGAATCAGGAGATGTTGCTCTTTCAGGCACTTTGATGTCGTTGGCAACTGCTTTTCTGCCTTCCTGCAACCCACACGGCTAGCACTCACCTGCCGTTATCTCTTCATCTTCTCACTGCAACTGACAAGATGGAAGCTGCAGAAACTTTTAGTCACCTGCTGGCAAGAGGCGTGCATAAGGCTTGTATCCTACTTATGAGTTTGCAGAATCGCGAGTCCCCGTTCTCGTGAGAACTCATTTCTTGACCACAACATCGTCTTCAATCATCAAGCCCCGACCAGCATCAACATCACCCACGTCACCACTTGCATCACCAGCAGCTCCAGGGACTTCTATCATTGCCCGAAGTACGCCCTGAACCTTTGTCCCGGTCTCTACTCTATCACTCTCTTTAGGTATCCTTTCTTCGACAACATTTCAGACCTCAGATCCGTGGCTTGACTCTGCCATGACGAACCAGCCCGGCCAGCGTCCGCTGTTGTACAGCCATGGCCATGGCTATCACGCGATGCAACAGCTGCCAGCTTCTCAAAGGCTCCCAATCGAGATATTGCTTGGTATCTACTCGCTCTTGGATCCATGCGACTTCAATTCCTCACGGCACACCTGCCGCTCCTGGTTGTTAGCCGGCATGAATGAGACTATTCTTGGCCGCATGTTGTCGAGGGGCGGGTGGACCTCGAGCATCAATAGCATACTTGGCCATCAAGCTTCCAGCAACACGGACAAGCCGGTGCCAAGTCGAGCGTCTGTCATGTCCAAATGGCTCACGAGAGAATGCACTCTCGGCCCGCGTCACAACGGGAGCAAGCCCGCTTTCGTCGAAATCGGCCAGACGCACTTCATCGGCGGTTCTCCGATATCTACCAGCGACGAACGAAACATTGTCTACACCGCAAGTATGTGCGGTCGATACTTGATGGTCACTCACGGATGCACCATCCTGGTCTATGAGCTGCATCACCAGTGTGAAGAGAGCTTCTCGCGTCCATGGCCCATATCTTCTTGGAAGGAGCACTCGAATTATCGCAAGAGTCGCAAGGGCCAACTTCGACTTATCACTGCCATTACCTGCGGATCTCCTGTACTTGCCTGCGCCATGGACACGACATGGGCACGCAACCATGTTGCTGTGCTCGTCCAAGGCCGTCTTGGCCTTGTCTTCGAAATCCAAGGGTTACCCGTATTGCCCATCAAGTACTCAACCCAAAACAAACTGTGTAACTGTGACACCCGGCAAGTATCGCACTCCCTGCCTTTGCAGGCAAAGCTACAATCCACACACTACAACGTGGGCACGGCCGACTGTCCTCCTCGCTCCGTCGCCATTTGCCCTCATCGTTCTTACGTCGCCTTTGGCAGCTCTTCGGCTCTCGAGATACATAACAATGATAGAAGTGCAAAGCAAAATGCCCGCCGCTTCGCTTTGTCCACACCCAGCGACTACATCTATTTCCTTCCTCCGGGTGACGCAAACGACCCAAGACGCAAACTTCGCCTGATCAGCGCCGCGTCAATCTCAGACTGCCACGCCGGCTCGCTGCAAGACGTATTGGGTGGTCTTGGCTTCAATGAAATCGACTTTACCCCCCAGGTCCCGGTTATCATCTCACGACTTGAGACGTCTGAACTAGAGGAAGACGCTTCGAACGTCTATACCATCATGGAGCAGCAGTTGTCCGCCTCCCTCGGTCCCTTTGCCAATCAAAGAAGCCAGTGGACAAGAACGGGAAGAGTCCTCCCAAGGCCTAGATTATCCACTGCCGACAACTATCGAGCCGTGCCCTTGAGCGACGGGTCTCACATCCTTTTTACAGACCCCAAGACTAGGTACCTGAGCCTGGTTTGTGATGATTCCAAATGGTCGAGGGCTGGCATTGTGACCAAGGTGAAATTTTGTCCACCAGCGGCAGCATGCGAAAGTGCGCCGCTCATGTATGCCGTTGGGAGGGACTTGGTACATGGTGTGAGAATTGCTGCCGTTTTCTCAACAACACGGTGGACGGAAGGAGAAAGGTTCCAACCAGGGGAGCAAATTCTCGCTTTCTACACCATCCCACCAGATATGTTCCGAGATCTCTCAAACACTAACAGCCTCCTGAGTTTGGTCGACAGCCAAGGGGAACATCAATGGGCTCATTGGTGGCCGACATTGCAGCATACAGTTCAACAATTTCTCAAAGCCAAGAACGGCGGATTGAACAGCAAGGACAACCAGAACCCAAGGCCAAAGTTTCCAATTGATGTCTACGGCCAAGTCGTTGCCGTTTGCTCCGGCATCGTCAACCTTTCGATGGGATTAGGCCCTGATATGATGATCTGGGCATTTGGAAGAGAGGGCTTGGCTCGTTGCTGGGCATTGAACACGGGAAACACCAAGCTCGTGCGAAGGCATGCAATCTTGGGTGACGGAAGCATGCGAAAGGTGGACGGCGATGGGGATTTGACGATGTTGTAGGCGGGCTAGGATTGGTCACTGACGATGAACTATTAGGCGGCACAGGAGAAACGCTGACATCCTGGTGAGCGATACTGATGCATTTACAGTGGCGAGGATGGAAAATGTTATCTTTGCAGTTGTGCAATAGCGAGACTGCACACTGGGCTATGCTGGTTTCAGCAATGCTGGCCTATAGCGAGTGATGCACGATTGCAGGAAATAGAAAAGCATTACTTATAGAAATGATTAGATTCTCAAAGCCTGAGATGTAAGATTTCGCTTCATCCGTCTTCTAGTCATTGATCTTTCTAGCGTCTATAGATGCCATGTATCGTGTAATCCTTTTGTGGCCCGTTGACAGTATACTTGATATTCCACTCCTCGAGGTTGACAGCCTTGAAGGCGAAGTCGTACTTTACGTCATAATAATCATCAATGCAAAGGTGCCCAGCCTTTGCCTGCCAGGGGTTCTTCTGGTCATCTTGTGGCGGTCCTTCGAACTCGATCTCGTGGAAGAGGTAATCTGCCCGCTTCGGCTCGTTGACTTTTGCGAACCAGACGCTGATTGTGTCTTTCTTTTCGTCGTAGCGCCAGACGTAGCGGCGGGTCGCGCGGAAGACGAGGCCGTTTGAGGCGCGGAATTCGCCGTCTTCGATATAGAGGTATTCTGTCGCCAGGGCGCCGTCGTCGTTGGCGTCTGGGGTTTCATCAGCGGAGGCGGGTCCGGAGGCGCATTTCAGGCCGTCGGCGGTCTTGTTGCGGAGGAGGAATTGTGCTGTCCCGCTGAAGTGGCCGCTTGGGTGGCTCGGTAATCTGCTCGTGAGATCGCGTTCCAGCTTCCATGTTCCCAGTAAGCTGCGGAAGACGGCGCGGGGCACGAAGCGGGATGTGGTTAGGCCTGCGATTGCTGTGTCGTTTGTTTGTGCTAGAGACTTCTCGGCTTCGGATTTTGCGGATTCGGAGGCGAGTGGGGAGAGGTAGCGTGCTGGGGTGAGTATGTCCATTGGTTTGTTGTTGTGGGGGAGGGCCGGGGTTAGGGGGCTCGCGGGCGGGGAGATGGGGATGGAGAGGGCGAGGGAGAATTGTTGCATTAGGTAGGCGTAGTCGCCCATTGGGAACTGGGAGGCGCGGGGGTCGTTGCGGAGGGAGACGGTGCGCCAGTCTGAGGCGTCGTCTAGGAGGGCTTCGGTGAGGGCCGGCGGGCGTGTGGAAGGGGAGGACGTCCAGAGGGCGGAGAAGAAACGGGCTTGCATTTCCATTACGCCCCAGTAGGGGGACCGGTAGAAGCCTACGAAGCCAAGGGTCGGGAGGTCTTTGACGTGGGTTCCGTGGAAGGCGAGGGCGAGGGGGAGAGAGGGGTGGGAGTGGGAGTGGTTTAGGGTTGTGAGGACGGAGGAGGGGAGGAAGGAGAGGCAGGGGGAGGGGTCGAAGCCCGTTGCGAGGATGACGGCTGCGACGTTCTCGATTTCCGGAGTGGCGGCGGAGGAGGAGGAGGAGGAGGAAGGATTCGTGATTTTTGCGGTTGTGCCGGTGACGGAGTCGAGTTTGCCGGTTGTGATGTTGATGAGGCCGGCGCGGACGAATTCCATGTAGTTCTCCGAGACGGCGAGGTAGGCCGGGTCCGAGTGGTGTTTGGACGTCACGGCGACGGAGGGGGAGAAGTCGGATTGGTCTTGGCCTAGGGAGGTTGTGTAGATGCCGTGGGTTAGGCGTGCGGCGTCTGGGGTGATGTGGCCTTGGCTGTTCTCGAGGGGGTGTGGGCGGTTGCTGAGGTTGTAGGATGGGAAGTCTAGGGGTAGGAAGGGGGCTGCTTTCGCGCCGGGCTTGAGCTTTGTGTCAGCAAGCCGAGTCTCTCCGTGTCTGGAAGATGGGGCATACCTTTGGCGTGGTGTGGAGTGGAAATACCCACGTCGGACGCTGGGTGAGATGCTCGACTGTAAGCTTCTCCGAGTTCGGCACGGGGTTCAGGTCCGGTGCGTTGATGGCGCAGGAAATGTGCGTGGCGATGGTCCCCGCGATCTCGACGCCAGACATCTGCCCTCCCACGACTAGAATCTTGCCGCCGTTCTTGACGCCGTCCGGGAACAGGGTCTGTAGATCCCGGTACTTGCTGCTGTGCACCACGGGGATATCCGTACCGGCACCGCCAGAGACGACGTCTGGCACAATGGGCTTGCCAAAGAAGCCGGAAGACACAAGCAGGTGATCAAACACGCTCGTCTCCCTTCCGCCAGCCTCGCTCTCGACGGTGACGGTCCATGAGCCGTCTTTGGAAGAGAGCTTCGTTTCGACGACACGGTGGCCGAGCTTCAAGGTTGCTGCAGCGGCAGCATCAGTGCCCTTGAGGTAGCGCTCGATGTAGCGTTCCAGGTACCGGCCAACCATCCAGGCACGCGGGAAGTCCGGGTCCTCAGGGGCCCAGGCGAGGTCGCTGAACTGCACGGTGTGCTTGCTCTGGTTGGCGAGCATGAGAGGGTGGACGAGGCCGTCGACATCGTCGCGGCGCGTGGGCCATAAGCCGCCGATGCGCCGTTGGGCGTCAAAGATTGTCACGTCAAAGGCGTCCTTTGGTGCGTTGTGGAGGAGAGTCTTTGCGGCGACGAGGCCGGAGGGGCCGGCGCCTTGACACTATGATGTTAGCAAAGACTCAGGCGTGAGAGAGAAGGTGGTCCTTACCGACGATGCATACACGTTTGGCCATGGTGATGGGTCTCAACGCAGGGGATGGTGGGGTGTTTGAGAGTGTGTGAGTGAATTGCCCCTCACTGACAGAATCAAACCCCTGTTGGGTGGGTTAGGAAGTCGAACTCGGGATGAATTGGGGGAAGGGTATCGTATATAGCCTCCCTTGAAGACGGGAACATGTGACGGTGAGCACTGCAACCTCTCATCGCCTGAGAGATGAAGTTCTCACGTCAGAAGCCACCGCCGAAAGCGCCATCGTCGCAGTCGGGGATTAGCGGCAATGGTGGGGCTTGTCGCCGATCGACGCCGGCGCTATCCGCGATGACTCAGCTGGGTTGGTCTTGTTTAGCGCCAGCCGGCATGACGTTTTGCCGGCTGGCAACTCCCGTCCACTCCACTGGCCTCTGTCATCACCATCTCCCAACCCTCTTTCTCCATGCTCCATCATCGCATCCACTGCAGCTCGCGGTCTAAGCATCGCCCGCACGCCAATATGTCATCATAAAATTTCATTGTCTCATTAGTTACAAAATGCTGCGACACGTCCGCCATCTATGCAATGCAGTTGATGCACGAAACGTCCGCAGTTGACAAGCAATACCGTGTGGGCATGCATCGTCAGCTCCAGCACCGCCAGAATGCCAGCCATGCTGGAAGCCTTCGTGTCTTGTTCCGGGCAGGTTGAGTTCGACCAATGTCAATTGTCGAACAAGTCCAGGACGCCGAGCCTGGAAGTCCAGCTATCCGCAAGCTCCCGAAGTCTGAAGAGAACCATTCAGTCAATGGACTCTGAGGCAAGCTCCCGCCCCGAAAGCTTGGAACATGAAAGCAGGGACTATTCGAGACACCTGATGGTCGGAGCGGCCCAACGACGGCCAGTCGGCTTGCGACAGGGAATTATCGACGGCTTTCTGCCATGTCCCGAGCTACGGGCCCTCCTTACCGCCAGCCTGGCCCCGGGCGCGGATTGCCAAGCCAGGGCGTCGGGACCCGTTACGGCCGGTTCGGGACCAGACGCCGCACCGACATGGATATCTCTTCGGCTTCGTGCAGTCAGTGGGCCTACCTACGTTTATTCAGAACTTCGGATGGCACCAAATACCTAGCCTCTGTCCACTCATCTTCGGATGAATATTCAGCACCGACTGATCATCGATCCGCCCAATGACCCATCATGATTACTAGCATTGACTGCCAGGGACCATGGTGCTGCAGCATGCCAAGCCGGGACAAGACCTACCATCCCGGGGATGTTCAACGGCGCAAATGCGGCCAGCATCTTTGGGCCCATCTGTTGACGAACCCCCAAGTAACGTCGTTCTTCGAACCGGCGATATGCTTGAATCATGCCCGTGGTCGCACGTCAGTCCATTGTAGTCATGGACCTGCCTATTCTGATTATCAAAGACTTATCTGTGGGGCGGACATCTGCATTACATCTAAGTCGCACAGAAAGACCAGCTCAACCGAGCAGGCTGCATTATTGGCCATCCAACCTCGCCATACGGTGTTTCTTGTGCCACTCGGCGGTGTTCGTGCGACTACTGCACAGATCTTGAGCAACGGCGTCACCCTTGTCCTCACGTGGGTGTATTTCAAATACGTGCACAACGACCCAGCCCGTTCCCCGTCCCACTAAGACTAGCAGGAAGGGCACAGTGGCTGGCATCATCCTGGGGAACCGTCAACCAGTTGCTATTGACCGAGCTTACTGCAGATCCAGCGGTACTTCTTTTCCGTTCGAAGTGTCGGCCGTCAAATCAAGCTTGCCCGGCATCAGCCGGCCCCAATGCTAGAGCGCCTAGGACGCAGATCAATGCTTGTTGTGGTCGAGTGACTGAGCTTGCAACCGCGGGGTCACGCCGGAGATAAGCTAGTCTTTGCTTGCCTACGCGGACCGATGACCGTTAGATTCCCCCTCTCTTCTTAGTCTCGACGGGTAGAACCCCCCTCCCCAGACTCTCCCCACGGGCAGATGGAGTCTCGGATGGAGCCCCCGGCTCATACAATGTTGTCAACTAGCTCCACTGGCAAGCTCTCACCTTGTCGGGAAAAGCATTCGATGCGGATGAGATGCGCCCTCTCTCCCATCTACCTGTGACTTCCTCAAGCATGGAGTCAGAATATGCTGTGAACCCAACGATTCTAGACTACCTCGCAAGCCACCATGGGTCTCAGGATTCCGGTCCATGGTGAATACCTGTTCGTGGTCATGGACTGGAGTTCGCAAGGCTAAGACACGTCAGAGAAATCAACCGATGCGCGCGTGTCTCCGGTGTCTTCCCCTTGGCTTCCCTCGCATCCTTCGAGAAGCAGATACTGCTGCTGAGGTTCATCCCTTTATTATTGACGTCGCCGCCCGCGTTCCTGGTCTTAGTCCTGCAGGATAACCACGCGGTCTAATCGGTACTGGAGACCCTAGCATTGTATTCTGTCAGATTCATCACGCCGCTCGAAAGCGGCGCATCAACATCTCTTGACCGAGGTCTCTGTTCCACGTCAAACGTGGAGCCCCCAATGGCTACTAGAGATAAGCCACTTGTTCCGCTGCAGCGGTTTGGCTACCAGTCACAGAGAAGGTTCCATTGCCGAGTGTATCCCGAAGGTCGTCTGCCGGTGATGGGGGAGGGTTGCTCTTACGTTCCCCACCTCCCGCCGTCGCGGGCAGGTCTCCTTAGTTTATATTTGACCAGGTCTCCCGCCGATCTGGTTTGGCTTCCGTCAAGCATCTTAATTACCACCCCAAACTCATTCGTCCGCCACCCGAGCCAGCATTTACTCAGCCTTCCCCCCCACATCTGACTACGTCTGTTCTCAAAATCTGAGCCTTCTATTGCGAGGCTTTTCTCTTTTTTCGTCTCAAACGCGGCCGAAACCAAACTTTGATATCGGCTCCAGATACACCCCACCACGATGAGCGACACGGAGAAGGCTGCGGCCTCCCATACATCAGACCAAGGCACGCAGGATATTCCGCGTGACCCTGACGCGCACCTCAGTGAAGAAGAGAGGCTTGAAGTCGTATGTCATGCCCTTCGTGTCCAATCAAACGCCCAGTAAACTGACCTACACATTGCAGGAGCGAAAGTTAGTCAGGAGGCTCGACTGGATCCTGATTCCATGGGTACGTATCATGCATGCTCATGTCCTGCGGGCATAAGTGCATTTAACTGACGCCGGCGCAGCTATGCATCCTTTACCTCTTAGCTTTCCTTGATAGAACCAACATTGGAAATGCGAAAATCGCCGGTTTGAACAAAGACCTGGGCCTGACGAGTTCCATGTACAACTCGTCGCTCACAATTTTCTTCGTCTCGTATGCGGTGTTCGAGCCCTTGACGAACATTCTGCTCAAGAAATTGCGACCGTCAATCTTCATTCCCATCATCATGTGAGCAAAGGACAGCCTAGTTCCAGTCTTTATCTGGCATGGTGTGCTGACCCAGTACAGGATTCTCTGGGGGGCATCAATGACGGGCATGGGATTCGTACACAACTGGAGTGGGTTGATGGCCGCGCGCTGGTTCTTGGGCCTTACCGAGGCTGGGCTTTTCCCGGGCGTTAACTACTACCTATCATGTTGGTACAAGAGATCAGAATTTGGCATCCGCGCTGTAAGTTCTCAGCTCAACTAGACGTCCCTCCAAGCTTACCTGTCCAGGCCATCTTCTTCTCAGCTGCAGCCATCTCGGGCTCATTCGGTGGCGCCCTCGCAGCAGGCATCGAGCAAATGGCCGGCGTCGGCGGCCGCCCGGGCTGGGCATGGATCTTTATCCTCGAAGGCCTCCTCACCGTGGTCTTCGGCGTCGCCTCCTTCTGGATGGTCCACGACTTCCCCGACGAGGCTAAGTTCCTTTCCGACGACGATCGGGCCCGCGTCATCCGACGTCTAAAGATGGACCAGCAGGCCTCTGCCAACCACGAGGAGTTCAAGATGACGTTCTTCTGGCAGGCCGTCAAAGACTGGAAGATGTGGCTGGGCATGGTCATCTACATGGGCTGCGACATGCCGCTTTACGCTTTTAGTCTGTTCTTGCCCACCATCGTCAACGAACTTGGGTGGAATACGAGTATCGTACGATCGCAGCTGATGACGGTCCCGCCTTATGCTGCGGCGGCGATTTTCACCATCTTTATCGGATATGTGGCGGACAGGACGAAACAGCGTGGTCTATGCAACATTGGAGTCAGCCTCATCGGCATGGTAGGCTTCTGTATGCTCATCGCTACCGAGAGCGCCCAAGTCAAATACGCAGGCACCTTTCTCGGAGCTCTCGGCATCTACCCATGCATCGCCAACACCATCACCTGGGTCGCCAACAACAATGAGGGCGTCTACAAGCGCGGCGTGGTACTGGGCTTTGTGATTGGATGGGGGAACTTGAATGGTATCGTCAGCTCCAACATTTACTTCCACGGCCCTCGGTTCCCAGAGGGTCATGGCGTTGTGTTGGCGTACATGTCCATTTTCTTGTGTGGCGGCAGTGCTCTCATGACCACTTTGCTCAGGATCGAGAATAAGAAGAGGAGGCAGGGGAAGAGAGATCACTGGGTTGAGAATAAATCTGAGAAGGAGATTGAGGCGCTCGGTGACAAGAGGCCAGACTTCCAGTACACCTTGTAATGCACGGGACTGAAATTTCAACAAGACCTTGTCTATTTACTTAGACTTGATGTCATGAACAACCTCTCAGGAGAATGGATGATACTTGCACTGGGGGAAATGTCTTGTGGCCAAAGAGATGCACTGATGTAATAGCCGACGTGTCTCTATCGATGCGAAATCTCACACCTCTTAGTCAACTAAGAATTGCCGTCTGCTATGATTGCCACGCAAGCTCTTGTCATTCAAGCCAAAGGCTTCTTGTACCAGATGTAATGGAAACTCATCCCTCTGAGAGGCTATGACCATGTATAAGTCCCAAACTGAGCCGAGAAGTCACGAACCAGATCCCAGATCTGTTCCACCGCCCTGATGGTCTAGCGGTATGATTCTCCCTTAGGGTCTTAGCGACACGTCTGGGAGAGGTCCCAGGTTCGAATCCTGGTTAGGGCCCAAACCTTTTGCATTTTGCTCGAAACAGCAATTTTTATGATCCCCATCTTCTAATCTTTCACCTGGTAACATTTCTGAAGACGCCGGACCCATGTTGCAGTCGGGACGGTTGACCGTTGATGGACCACCGAACCTGACAACATTTAAGACATTACAGCACATCGCCACAAACCTTCCAATACGGCGGCGTGTCGTGCCTCCTACCACCATAGCTCGACCGTCTCAAAAGTTGGAAAATACATTCATTGGGTCTGTGACGCTGCTACACGTCACGTAGGCACTTGGAATGGCTCTTTCCACGCGCGCGCAAACTTCTCAATCTGGATTGTGCCATGGAGCTCGATTGCGCGGCTACACGACGGACCTTGTTTTGCCTCCAAACGGTGCCTGGGTAGGTAGAAGGGAGGTTGGCGACAAGATACTGAGGAGTCTGTGAAGCTGCTCCGTCTGATTTCTCTGGACGACAGATCCGAGATCGAGTCCTGTGCGAGTGTTGCAGCCGTGTTTTCGGGATCCACTGTCCGCCGTACACTATCATCTGTGTCGACCGTTGATTGTATGACGTTTACTTTGCTGGTTTCCGCCGAGTACGGATCTTGAGAGTAGAGTGTATTACACGATCTATCACTTTCCTTACCAGTAGTGGTTACTCTGATGTCGTTCGGGCCGAAGCTCTGGGCAGGAGTTTGCGGCCGAAGGCCCTATGCTTGTCATTGCGAGCTTCCATTTGTAAACTAGCTCTGCGGTCTACCTACCCTAAGTGGACCAAAATCCTAATGTTCTATGCTCCAGTGCTTCACAGAAGATGGGCTTCAGAAGAGTTGCGCATGGCTTTTCCTAATTGAAAGATAAACGATGAATAAGCCGGTCCCAAAATCGTGCCGGCTATTTGCCTTTACCATGAGCTAGGACATCTTGAGGTGTTGAGTGGTAGACACTTTGAGCGAAGTTACCCTGCCCATGAAGGAGGCTCACCTGCATCGGCGGCCCCACAGAAGGTAACTTACAAACTGTTCAAGGTTGCCAGTGTATTTTTGGGCTTCGAACATGCACACAGCCACACTAACTTTTGACGACTGAGGCACAGAGAAATACTCCGCGTGAGAATGAGGAATCTAGAATGTTGCGTGATTCGATTGATTCTACCGTGACTGGTGAATGCGTTTTGTGAAGCTTGGCACTCAATTCCTCTCAGTCGATGTTACGCTCTGCTTACTTGCACAGCTCCACCCCGTGGGATCACTACCCAGAGGTCGGGCTGACAATCACGGAAAAGGTAAAGTTCGTCAAGCTGCATTCTCGTCTCACTAACCAGAAGCTCAAATGCGCATCATCTCATGTGCTTAGAATTGTCAACGGCGAAAGTTGCCTTGGATGTCCAACGGAGTTCGGGTGCTTGGAGAGTTGAGATGACTGGAGATACATGGTCTTTTGCGGTTAGCGACCAACTTGAAGCCTTTGGTGAGAAAGTGAAGATCAAGAGAGGACTGTTCAATGTGGATATTATGCGAAAGTGCGGTAATTAGTAATACTGGAAACGATACCGACAACCGTTAATGCACCCTACCGTTCATCCGGTTGTGCTGTTTCCACAACCCGTATCCTCGAATAGGCTTCAACTTAACATGGCCCTGGAGGATTCTGTGGAGTTCGTCTGACTGCTTCCGCGGCGGGTAGCATCCGCCTCAGCTCAATCTCGCAACCTAAAAAAACAGGCAGGGATCAACGCGATCTCACCTATCAGCGCTGCAAGACTGTCTAAACATCCCCTGAAGACCGTGCCATTTCTCATCTTCCTTTGGATGCGCCAAGCGGTCCTTTACAAAGGTCTCTGGTCGTCGGCTGATGGTTCTGAACCTTGTAGTTGGATCGACAGGGCAGAAGTCTGAATAGCCGCTCGTGCTCATAGCGTAGACTTAGGATCTTACCCGTTCCTTAGTTTCCGAACGAACGTTCCAGGCGCTTATGCTCGCTTTCCAATCCCACGATGGGGGCCAACTTCCCCAGCTCAGTCTGACTGCGTAGCAACATCGTATAGAGCTTGGTTGATGGGGTCCAAGTCAACGTAGCATGCATTCCCAGGCAGCAATGATTCTAGTGAACATCCCCAGCTTGGGGTCATGGCCGGGTCGAGATTATCTCACATGCAGTATTGATGTGATGAGAAGTTGACATTTAGCTTACTATACAGGAGTATAAAGTCTGTCTTGCTCGCAGACATCATTGAGTCCAGAATCAGCTCATCCCAGTCTCACACCCCGATCACTATCAACCGGTTACTCTCAAGACCTCATATCACAATGGTTCGCTTTGTTCCTTTTGCAGCCACAGCGGCTCTCTCATTTGGATCGTGCGCCTTCGCTGCTCCCACGGTGGAAGGTGCCAAACTGCCAGATCCATCAACCTTGATCAAGCCCATCGGCTTCGACCCTACCATTGTCTCCTCGCTAAAGGAGCGCAAGGTCGCAGGAGTTGTCCCCGAGGTCATCACGCTTAGCCTTACCGGCCAGGATGCGAACTTCACGGACTTCCCCCCCTCAAATCCCGGATCTTCTCAACCCTCGAAGCGCGGTATCATCGGGGGTGTCGACAACCGCGTCCTCTGGACCAACAAGGACTACCCTTACCGTGCCATGGGCAGAATCGCACTCTCCAACGGTGCAATCTGCAGCGGTGCCTTGATCGGTTCCCGCCACGTTGTCACCGCGCGCCACTGCATCCCAGAGAATGGCGCAACCGCCCGCTTCCAGCCCGCCTACGACAACGGCGAGGCCCTCGGCGGCTACGATGTGATCCGCGTCTTTCGACCCGACTACGGTCAGGAAGGCTGGTGTGCCAACGCCTACGACTGGGCCATCTTCGTCCTCGGCGAGAAGGCTGGATCCACCAACGGCTGGCTTGGGTTGAAGACGGTGAACCCTGATACTCAGCTCAACCGCGCCATGTTCTTCCACTACGGATACCCTGGCGACAAGGGCGGACAACAACCTTACCGTCAAGAGGCTATTACAGCTTCTTCCGCGACTCTATGTGACAGAGGTTCTCCTGTTGTGACTGATGCCGATGCTCAAGGTGGACAGTCTGGAGGTCCTTTCTGGATCAATGAGAACGGGGATCGGTACCTCTATGGTGTTGTTGTCGGAACCAATGACCAGATCACGGTTGTTGCCGGTGGCCCATCTCTGCTTGAGGGATACGGAATTTTACTGAAGGACTACCCCAACTAAGGGATGAATCACAAATGTTTTATGACTGGAGTTGAGAATGAAATCTTTACCATTCGAGATATGGAAACTTTCCGGTGCAATGAGCTCATCGTGTATATAGTTTAAGAAGCAAATATATACGCAAATAGCTAAGAGTATCTCGTTGACGCATTCAAGGCAACATCTAGGTCCTGAGGGAAATTTGTGCATCGGATTTAATGTGCCGATAGCGTTTGTAGCTACACCAGACAAGGTGGAATACTATACACAGAGTTGAATGACAGTATTTACTGGAGCTGCGGTATCACTCTGGCTAGCAACTACCCAGGATCACATCCGAAAGTTCCCGCAGATTCAAGCTAAGACGACGAGACCGAGACAATTGCAGTCGAAAAAGTAGTAGGCGCCGCTGTAATTTCCGTAGCAGTGACAGAAGTCGTTGTAGCTGCGCAGTTCGGATTTTCTCTTGGCCCGACTTTGAGCGTGACAGTCTGGCACCCATCCAGAGGCTGAGTTCCGTGACGCAAAAGTCCAGTCGTGCTATCGCAAACGTAAAGCGCAGACTTGCCGTTAGATTCGCACCCCAAAACACCATCTGTTACTGTGCATCCGAGGAAAGAAAAGGCGCCAGTCACACGGCTCGACGCGTACACGTAGATTAAGCTGTTAGTGTTGGTATGCACAGAGAGGAACCTCCAAGAGGAGTTGAACCAGGTCTCAACCTGAGTGCCGTTGGTGATGGAGAAGTTCAACGGGGTTTGAGATCCGCTCAGGTCAATCGATGCAAAGTCAGCGTAGAGGTATAGGTTGTAAGGACCTTCGCCCGAAGCAAGGGTTGCTTCGATGCTGACTGGTGTCGAAGTTGCGGCGCATGGCTCCGGCAAGCTAACGGAAGAGGTCGTTGGGGCTGGGGTAGCCTCCGCCGTCGTGGGGGTTGCAGTCACCGGAGGCTTCTCCCTAGTGATGCGGAACCAGGGTGAGACTTTGTACTGCCAGTCATTGAGGTTGCTGGGATCACCGAAGGTACGGAGTGCGCGGCAGAGAATGCGGTACTCGCCAGCTGGGATACCACCCCCATGAGCGAAAACATTCTGTGGAGGGGCATAGACACCGCCACCGTTCCGCGGGTAGTTCCTTAGAGGAAAAGAGGTGATAGAGTCCGAAAGCCCTTGGGGAACTGTGATAAAGGAACCTAAGTATTTGGCCTGCCCAGGGATTGCTGGGTAGGCCCAGTCTGTCTCGTTCCAGTCGCGAGCGACATACTAGTGGTGCAGTGTTAGAGCTTCGTACCAATAAGTGAAGTGACCGGTCTTACATCGAAGCTGATTTCTTGAGTTGACCAAAGAACATTGAAGTACGGCTGCGGGACATCGCCACCCTCCTCAAATGTGTAGTTGTGGCCCTCCTCCATGAGTCCGCCATATCCACTGAGTAGTAGAGGAACGCCTCGTTCCATCTCCCAAATATCACTCGAATACAGAGAGCCCTTGATTCCTGAAGCCTGGTTAGCTGAAACAGATGTGGATTTTGAAATGTACCCGACTCACCCATGTAGGACACTCGTACTGCTTCTCCCTGAGACCCAGCGACCACAATTGACCCTCCGTAGACTGGAAGAGTGGCAGCATCAGGTGAAGACGGCTCAGTGAAAGTGATAGAGACAGATCCGCTTTCACCGGGACCCAAGGTCAGGTCAGCGGGGGAAATCTCGACCGTGGCAGTATTCCCGCCCCCGGAGACGTATGGAGGTGAAACGGATACCCAGGCAGTTCCGGCACTCTTAGTGAGGGCAGTAATGCCGGCTTCATGTGAGAACTGGTATGTCACAGACTCGTCCCCAGAGTTGGTGATCTGCACACTTTGAGTACCCTGGAAATGCTCTGTGTCGTTGAGGTTGAGCACCGCTGGGCTCACGAGGGTCGAGTAGCCCACAACTTTGAAGGCATCAACCAAACCTGCTCCCTGATGAATCACGGAGCTAAGAGCATAGAACTTGTATCAGCGTTTGTCTCCCAAGAAAAAGACGAGACAAGAAGGAACCACTTACGCGAGGCTGTCAGTGCCGTCGTAATGACGAATGGGCTTGCCGCTGGAAACGATGACTTCATGAGCCAACTTGGCACCGCCATCACCGAGGGCAGCGCGTCCACCCCGCGATGAGAAGAACAAGGCAGCAACACCGGATATCTAATAAATATCAGTCAAATATCCAGCTTGCATCGGTACTCTCGATACAATACTCACGTAAGGAGTAGCCATGCTGGTACCTGAAAGCGTTGCCCAACTGCCTGAGCCTATCGGGAAAGTCGAGAATATCGAGCCGCCTCTAAAGTGTCAATCGCATAATCTCTGAGATCGGTAAGGAAACCTACCTGGTGCAGAAATTTGGGGAACCATGCGCGCATCTAGGGTTGGCCCCCAAGATGTGAACTGGTCGATCCTACCTCCTGCGAAGGAAGGACGATCAATCGCAGCAGGTTTGTTGTCGTTGACAAACTCGAAGGTCACGGTGTAGTTCCTTTCATATTGGCTGACGAGCCAGTCTCCGTCCTCGTAGTTGATCAAGCTGTCTGGTAGTAGTTGTCAGACTCATTCTTGTGCATAACGCGAGAGATATCGAACTTACACCCTTTGGCTTGCCGCTCAGCATCGTATCGAACACGACCAGGGATCTCCCAATCGGAGCCGTTATAGTTGTAAATCAGAACCCAGTCCACCTTTTCCATCAAGCCACTATCGGTTCTTTGCCATCCACAATCCGCCCGGCTGGAGTCCTGTGTTACGAAGGTTCAGGGCAACTGGCAGTCATTTGAACTTACGGCAGTACCAAAACATTGGTGTTAGGAATAGTGAAGTCGATACCACACTGATCAGCGTGGTCCCGAGGATTGGGGGCCCATGAAGCTGGGGCCGTTCCGTTAAGAGACCACTGGACCCCGTTGTCTGCAAGGTAGATCTGGAGACATGTATGAGCTGCAAGCCAATCGAGATGATACAACAGCTGCAGTTGCTAGGGTATCAAATACGAACAATTTCACGAGTTTCGCCACTACTGGAGCGCGCGGTTGCCGTCCACGCAACGAGCTCATCATGCTCTACACTTCCAACGGCAGTGCTACCAATGCCATTGCCGCCGCTGCTAGTATACCAGGGGCCATCTATCGACGTCGATCAGTCAGAGATGACTTTTCCTGGATTGAGGAGGACTCACTACTTTCACCAGCGTTCCCGGCGGCGATAGAGACAAAAGTGCCGGCAGCTTGGATGGCGGTTGCCACCACCGCAAGAGGGGTGTCAACAAATCCTCTGTTAGAACCAAGCGAGGCGCTGACTATGTCTGCGCCCTCCTCGTGAGCTCGGAGGAAGCCCGCAACAATTACATCCTCGTAGGTGCTACCTCCGCACCCAAATACTTTGTAGGCACGAAGACGAGCTGAGGGTGCAACGCCAGGCACAAATTCGTTGCTGCTAGCGATGATGCCAGCAACGTGTGTGCCATGGCCATTGCAGTCAATTGGGTCCTCGTCTGGGAGGTAGACGTCTCCAGGTTCGTAGTTGTCGCCAACAAAATCGTAGCCACTCTCGACCTTGAACCCAGAGCCGAACCCGCCACCGAGAGCGGGATGATTGTAATCGATGCCGGAGTCAACAATAGCGACGGTCACCCCTTCGCCAAAATGGCCGTTGGCATGCGCAAGAGCGACGTTCGTGTCATTGTGAGGGTTCCAAGTGGGGAACTCTGTCTCTACAACCGCTTCAGTCGTGATGGGAAGTGAGAAAAGTGCAGCAGACCATATCTTCTCAACTTCCGGCAGAGCTTGGATATCGGCTACAGTTTCAGAGGTATCATTCTCCAAGTCAAAGGAAGCTCCGTGAAACAGCTGCGAGTTGAAGCTCACTGCTGGGGAAGCATCTTTGCCGGCATTCTGGAGGGTGGTAAAGAAGCCGGCAGTGTCCTGTAGTTGTGTCACAGAAATTAATTTCTTTCGTAAAACAGATCCAGGGACTGAGATAGTCATACAAGATCTCCGTCACGCTTTCTGAATTTCGCTGAGCCGGAGGATGAGAACTTAACGATGTATCGACCGCTTTCGATGGAGATTGGAGAAATGGGCCCAAGAATTGCTTCAGGGTCATCTGGAGACGTCTGACCTAGGACTTCTCCACAGAAGATGAAGGAGGCCAAAGCCAAGAGAGACTTGACTCCCATGATGAAGTGTAACGTCTGACAGGACTCAGGGCAAGTCTTGACTGACGAGAGGGACAAGGCAGCATTGAGCCTTAGCCGGTGGGATAGTGCAACATGAATGACCAACGATGCAGGCTCTTGTCACCTTATGTACTACGGAAGCCAACGGCGTAGACACTCAGGTAGGGGATGTTACTAAAATTTCCAATGCTCCTCGTCCCGCCTGGCGCGGAGTATCTTGTCAACTGGATTAAGTGGAATGCAGGGATTTGGTTGTACTCAGTTGCATTCGAGTGGATCGAGCAAGGCGGGAATGATTAGATTAGATGCTAGCTTCCTGCTCGGTGATAGTCGGTGGTCACCTTGTTTCTACCGAGGTGACATCCGTGGTCGGATCTTGGCATATCTTCGCCAATCGAATTCTTTGAAAAGGATCACGGAACAGGCGCAGTAGAAGGCGACACTTTTCCACCTCGGGTATCGCGCCGAGAATAATGGCGGTAATGACTTCTTACCCGGGCCATCACGCAGGAGTAACGACCATTATGATCTGAAATTAGAGGCATTACATTACCACTGTGCGTTCCAATAAGGATTTTGCTCCGGCATCTCATGCAAGTCCCGGCCTCTTTGCTGAAGTCATGGTGGAAGGTTCGGAACGAAGCCTAATTGGGATCCTTGTCGAAGATCCGAAGTCGGCCGCCTATTACATGATCCGTGACGAGATGGATGGTTTACTGGTAAAATCAGGAACAGATGGCTGATCGTCATTCATCGGAAGTTAAATCTGGCTTGCAGGCCGCTGAACTGACTAAAGTCTTACACAACATTC